TAACAGTCCTGGCTGTCCTGGAACTTGCTTTGTAGATCGGGCTGGCCTCGAACTCACAAAGATCCACCTGCCTCTGCCTCCCAAGTGCTGGGATTAAAGGCGTGCGCCACCACGGCCTGGCGTGATTCTTATATACCCTAGGACCACCTGGTGCCCTCAGCAGATCCCCTGGGACTGAAGTTGCAGATGTTTGTGACACACCACAAGGGTGTTGAGAACTGAGCATGGATCCTCTGGAAGAGCAGCCAGTGCTCTTCACTTTCAGCCCATAAAAATCATACTGTAGTTTTTGAGACAGATCTCACTATGTAGCCCTATAGTACTCAGTGTGCACACCGGGCTAGCCTTGAACTAACTGAGATCTGCCTGCCTCTGCCTCTTGAATGCTGGGATTAAAGGTTTGGCATCACCATGCTTGGCCCCAAACCATAACTTTTTAAAACTTTGAAAGTATAGAATGGTATGGTGTTGAAAACCGGGAGCTAACACCGAGATGTTGCAAGGTCAAAATTTATTTATGGCTGGGCCAAACTTCCCGTTTCCCATAATAGGAGGATGAAGCAGCAAAAACCAAAGACAGGAAGTAGAGCTTCTTTATATGATCATGGAAGGGTATGTGTTATGGTTATGGTCAGATAGTTATTAGAACATAACATGAAATAGTTTATGGTAAGTCAATTCTTGGAACATATGAAACAATGAAAACAAATTATGTAAATCATAAGGTTATAGAGGAAGAACAAGTCAAAACAACAACAACAAAACAAGTTGCCCTTCAGCTTGGGACATGATTAGAGACTAACATTATGCTTAACTAGGAAAAGGAAGAGAGCTGGAGTCAGTTGGCCTTAACATGGAACTCAGTGCAAACTAAGGCATCACTATGTTTGATTGAGATCTATCTGGTGATGCACGCCCAGAACCACCTTGGCTATCTCATTCTTTAGGTCTTCTTACATTTAGAATTTATAGGAGTCATCTCAGCTGCTTGTTAGACCCTGATTCTCAGTCCCAACATCCTGAAGTCTCTTCCATAGGCAAGAATCAGAGCTTCAGGTGATCCCAATGCCCACATTTTGTGCTATAACTTGTTGTGGGGGTATCCACCAGAAAAGACTCTTGGACATAGGCATAAGCCAATAGAAAGTCTCTATTAGCCATCTGGTGACTATACTGGGTGTTTGGGATCCCAGTGTAGCCCTGAGCTTTTCTCAGGGTGAGCTTTTAAGCACAAAAACCCTGTTCTGGTTGACATACTTCAGTTAACAAGAACAGTTAGAAACAGAACTACAGAAACCAAAAAGCAAGGTTAGTACATTTTGAGACTTTCCCAGAACTATGGATAGATTAGACCTTTGTTTTAGTTTGGGCTGTCTAGGTGTTGAGTTTTACAGCCTGAATTGTACTTCCATCATGGACTCAGTTGTCCTTAGGTCTGGGAGCCTATTAAGTCTGGGGCCTTGTTACATAACTGATGTCTTACAAGACACCAGTTTGAAAATACAATACTAAACAAGAGTAATTTATTACTTAAAAGGAACTTTTCATGTGATAATCAGTAATGCACACATGTTATAAAATAGTTCAAACAGTGCTGAAATAGACACAGTAAAAACAAATGTCCTTAAAAAAAAAAAAAAAGGCGTGTGGCGCACGCCTTTAATCCCAGCACTCGGGAGGCAGAGGCAGGCGGATCTCTGTGAGTTCGAGGCCAGCCTGGTCTTCCTCTCATGAAAACTGTTACCAGCAGACTGTCCTCCTGGATTTGCTCCCAGTGTCCTTGTCGAGGCTCTATTGTCCCCGCCCCCACATTCCAGTTAATATTTCAGAGTTCAGTCCCGGCTAACTTATTTTGACACATGGTTTTATGGCTGGCCTCGAATTTTCTCGTCACACAAGGATAGCCTTGAACTCCTAACTCTCCTGTCTTATCTCCTGATTGCTAGGATCACAGGCATGGGAGACCATATCTGGTCTTACTTCACCTTTGAAAAACTAATCACTTTCTTTCTAGTGTTGTCCTCTATAAAAAAGATTAATGTGGCCTACGACATTTTCATGACCATTAGTTAAGGTTGTTAAAAGTGTGTTGAAGCCTGCACACTTGTGAACAGCCATTGTGTTTCTTCTCTAACCATCCCACCTTTATTTTTTCAGATAAGGTCTTAGGAGGGCCTTGAACTTGCTATGTAACTGAGGATAACCCGGCTTCCTCCCCCTCCCAAGTGCTGGGGTTACAGAGCATGCAACACCACACCCAGTTTTAGGTGGTACTGGAGACCGCATCCAGAACTTTGTGCATGGTAGGCAAGTGCTCTACCCACTGAGATACAACCCCAGTCATTCTGAAAGCACATTAAAGGACCAGCAGTATAAAGGAGCTAGTCCATGGTGTCATTCGGGGTGAGTACATGATGTCCGAAACAGTTTCTTCACACAGCAGTTAGAGTTATACTGTGTCTTAGCATGACGTCAGTTTTGAGTGTGGTTCATTGTAATCAAGTATCTACCAAGAATATTTGAGAATGGGGGAAGGTGGGAGAAAGATGCGTAACTGAATGTATAATGTGAACAGGAGGACATCAACATTCCATTCCCAAACTGTACCTGAAGAGAACTGTAATGCAAAGTGCTCTTAAGCAGACATTCCATCTCATAATAGCATGACAACCACAAAACAAACAGGTCAGCAAAGAAAAGCACAGGATTAAAAAAAAGGGGGGGGGGAATGCTGGTATTTTAACCAGTGATGTCACAACTCTAATGGCTTATTTCATTGAATTTTCAGAAGAGCTATTTGTTAGTTTTAAAGTTCATTTAAAGATTAGTATGTTTACAGAACTAGAATAACAGAAGACAAATACCTGGATTTGCATAACCTTGTAATTCCATTTCTGGAACATGGACAGATCCCTGAGGCTAGCTGGCCAGGCAACCTAGCCTAATCTGTAAGTCTCAGGTTCCAGTAAGAGACCCTCTGAAAAAATAAGGTGGACAACTACCGAGGAAGCACACCTGGAATTGGCCCATGGCCTCTGCCCAACTGCACAAGCTTCCACACTAGTCAACATAAGCACACACACAAAAAGGAAGATCAGGTTAGTAAGTAAGCTGCATGGTGTGTTACTTTGCCCTGGAGGTTGGGAGAAGGCATCGCCTAAATGTTAAAGCAAATAGTATGGTAGTCTAACACTACGGTTTGGTCAAATTCACATCAAAATGGGCCCTAAGAGTTGAGTAAGTTTTAATTGTAAAAATACCTAATTTACAGTCCTGGTTCTGTTCCTGTTTCTGCAATACATTAGCTGTAAAAACTTGATAATAACAAGGTTTCTATCTCATAGTGTGTGAGTGTATGGTGGTTAGGTAAATGTTATATAGTTTCTAGCGTCTTTTTTTTTTTTTTTTAAATTTAAGATCAATTTACAGAGATTGCCTGCCTCTCCTGGGATTAAAGGCATAGGCCAACAGGACCGCATGGCTCATGGATATTTTTGAAATTATTATTGTTTTTAAGATTTATTATGTATACAGTGTTCTGCTTGAATGTATGTCTGCACAACAAAAGAGGGCACCAGATCTCATTTAGATGGTTGTGAGCCGCCACGTGGTTGCTGGGAATTGAATTCTGGACCTCTGGAAGAGCTGTCAGTGCTCTTAACCTGAGCCATCTCTCCAGCCCCTTGAAATTATTTTTATGTCAGGGTGGCGAAAGCCTTTAATCCCGGGCAGAGGCAGGCGGATCTCTGTGCGTTCCAGGCCAGCCTGATCTACAAATCGAGTTCCAAGACAGCCAGAGCTGTTACACAGAGAAACCCTGTCTCAAAAAACAAAGAAACCAATTATTACGGGTGTGTGTGGAGGGGGTGTTAATGTTCTTCCCTCTCCCAACCTCCAGGGCAAAGTAACACACCATGCAGCTTACTTACTAACCTGATCTTCCTTTTTGTGTGTGTGCTTATGTTGACTAGTGTGGAAGCTTGTGCAGTTGGACAGAGGCCATGGGCCAATTTCAGGTGTGCTTCCTCGGTAGTTGTCCACCTTATTTTTTCAGAGGGTCTCTTACTGGAACCTGGGGTTTAGAGATGAGGCTAGGTTGCCTGGCCAGCTAACCTCAGGGATCTGTCCATGTTCCAGAAATGGAATTACAAGCGTGCACAAACACGCCAGACTTTTTGCGGGGTTGGGGGTGGGTAGGTTTAGGCATAGAATTCAGGTCCTCACATTTACCGACAGCACACTCTCAACAGCCCCGGGTTTGTTGGTGCTAGTAAGTAGAAAAGGCTTTCAATCTTTTTTTTTTTTTTCCCTTGAATATCTCATGTTACATTTACACGACGGTCCAAGTTTCAGAGCGAAAAGATTTTAAAAATATTTTTATTAAGGCTACTTCTCTACTTTTGTATTCGAACGTGTGCGTCCAAGCGCAGATCAGAGAACAAACTGCTGGAGTAGGCTCTCCTTCCACCACGTGGGTCTCGAACTCAGTTCATCCACTGGGTGGGAAGCGCGTTTACCCACTGAGCCACCTCGCCGAGTTTGGATTTGTTTATTGCAGTCCCTGTGCTAAGCGTCTGGGGAAGTCTCCGACGGAGCGGCAACCTGGACCACCGGCGGCGGGTGGACAGAGCTGCTTCCGCTCGCGAAGGGCGGGCGCAGGGAGAGCGGCGTCCCGGGGTCCTCCCGGGGCAACATCCGCCAGAGGCCAGCTCAGCAGCTGCCAGGCCCTGGTGGCCGCCACCTCACACCGCGGCGTCGCCGTCCTCGCCAGCTCCCAGCCGACTCCGGCTCTCCCCGGCTCAGCCCGCAGCTTCAGAACAAGCCAGGCAGCATCCCGGCCACCAAACTAACCCAGTTCCCATAGCAACTGGCGGCGGCAGTCCGCTCCAAGCCAGGACCCTTCCGCGTGTGAGCTGCTTCTACTTCCGCTTCCGGTCCCAGCGTCCCCCTGTTCGCCCAGAAGAGCTTTGCATTGTGGGAGCTCCTTCCTTTCTCGCTCCCCGGCCATCTTGGCGGCTGGTGTTGGTGAGTGAGCTCTGCTGGGTGGAGGGTTAGGCGGCGCGGGGAGCCCCGCTGCTTGGTGTTTGGCGCTCCGGACCCTAATCCTCTCTTTTGCCTTCTCCATGTGCTAGGTTGGGGGCTGTCCCGCACCTAAGGCAGGAAGATGGTGGCCGCAAAGAAGACGGTGAGTGAAGCCGACCGGGCCGGAAGCCGATTCACGTGGAGAGCCGGGTCTGGGCCGGGGCGGGTTGGTAGGAGCACACTGGGGCGTCAGCATGCCGCGCAGTTCCAGGGATTCAGAGTGAACCCGAGAGGCTCTCTGTGACTTCTCAGGCATTATTAAAGGGTTCAGTTCCAGGAGTCTGGAACTGGATTTGATTTTTGAGATGGCTGCACCTGGTTTTCAAGTCTCAAACGTTTGCATTGTAGAAAAAGTCTCTGGAGTCTATCAACTCTAGGCTCCAACTTGTTATGAAAAGTGGAAAGTACGTGCTGGGGTACAAACAGACTCTGAAGATGATCAGACAGGGCAAAGCGAAATTGGTTATCCTCGCCAACAACTGTCCAGCTTTGAGGTAATGGAGGGACCCCGAGTGTGTGTGGCCGACTGTAAATTCATTGTGGACGAATATCCAGCATTGGGGAGAATGATTATTAGGATGGTTGTTGCTCTCTGATGTGTGTTCTTCTGTAAGCGTACCTTTGAAGCACAGTGCGTGACAGTTCAGGGCAGCACAGGGGCATGTTTTCTCTGTATTTTGTGCTTCCCTATTTTTTTTTTTTTTTACACTCCACTGCATGTGCCTGTTTTAGTTTAGAAAAGTTCTGGTTGGTTTATGGAGGTGAAGGTATAAAACCATCCATTTAGCAGTGTCCAATTTTCTGAACATATGTTTATTCTTAACTACTTGAGCTTGAACATAGTGAGCATTGTAAATAAGCTAAAGAAACTTGCAAAATATAAGCCCCTTGATTTTTCGGTGGCAGTTGAGTGTCTCTTCAGTCTTGTGTAGGGTGTCTATACTTTTTTTTTTTTGGTTTTTCCGAGACAGGGTTTCTCTGTGTAGCTTTGTGTCTTTCCTGGATCTCGCTCAGTAGACCAGGCTGGCCTCGAACTCACAGAGATCCGCCTGGCTCTGCCTACCCAGTGTTGGGATTAAAGGCGTGTGCCACCACCGCCCGGCGGGTGTCTGTACTTAGTGGCAGAATTCGGAGTGTTTGGTCTTATTCTAAACCTTTCAAGTTTATAGGGGATTTTTATTCTTTATATTTTTAACCTACTATTTATAGTAACAGTATAGACATCCATTGTTAAATATAAGCTCAGACTCGGGGCCGGGGGCAGGATGGGGTTCCGGTTCCATTTTAGAAGCTCCTTGTGGCACTATTGATGGTCTGTGGGACTTTGAGATCCTAACCATTTGTGTCCATTGAGCTGGCACTGAAGTGTTTACTCTTTAAGTAATAGTATCAATCCTTACGTAGTCTTCGGGGTGCTAGTGGGTGATTAAAAGGCTTAACTTTTTTTTTAAAGTTTCTTACCCTTCACTTTTATTTGCCTTAGTTTTTTTGTTAGTTAAAATGGAGTACATAATACCTATTGTTAAAGTTTCAGACACTGCTAAGTTCAACCCTTTTTTTTTTTTAAAGTTTATTTGTAATTGTTTGTGAGAAAGAGTGAATGCATGCGCCCTTGGGAATCCAGGAGTGGGTGTCAGATACCCTGGAGCAGCAGTTGTGAGGTGGTTGGTCTGGGTGCTGGGAACTGAACTTGGGTCTTTTGTAGGCGATACCAGCTTTTCCTGAGCTATCTATCCCAGCCATTTTTTAAATGTCTGTTACAACCTCTTTTACTAACCTAGATATATCCTCCTCATCCCGCAAACCCCCCCCCCTTTCAAGTACCTTACACATTTTAAACTTTAGTGATTTGAAACATGAATACAACATACTTAGAATTGAATACTACCTAAACAAAATGAGTATTCGGTAGGTGATTTGCAGGCTACACTTGGAAGAGATCTGGTTACTCTGGTAACCATCTATCAGTACTTTGATATGGTATTTATTTGACTTTTTTGTTGTTCCCAAAGGAAATCTGAAATAGAATACTACGCCATGTTGGCGAAAACTGGTGTTCATCACTACAGTGGCAATAACATTGAATTGGGCACAGCATGTGGAAAATACTACAGAGTATGCACACTGGCTATCATTGACCCAGGTATGCTTTTTAAATCATAAAATATTTTCTTCCTTTCTAATGTTAGTGCTCCTTACTAGACAGTGGCTTTGGTGCCTGAGTTCAGACCATTAGAATTTTAATATTGCAAGAGAGATGTCATAATTTTATTTTGTAGAGAATTGATGATGCATGCCAGTACAATGTAATTGGCTTAGCCCTAAATATAAAAAGTTTTTAACTTTGAGATTATGAACTTCGTTAATGAGACACTTACTAGTTTGTTAGAAGGTGGAAATAGCAGGTGAAATAAAAAGTAATCTTTGTTGCTTGGGAATAAACAGTTTGGGCTGAGTGCCTACAAATACACAGTCTGTGTTTTGCACTTGGAAGTCGTAGAACACTGCGAATATTCTCGCTGTTCTGATTCTGTGATAATCAGGACAGGCTAGACATTCGCTATAGTATGACCATGCATGTGTCCCCAGGCCTGGTTCTTTACCTAGGTCTGGTTTTCTCAGTGCTGGTGACAAGCTAGGTCTGGTTTATTGTGATTGTTCTGTACGATCGTAGGATGGCGGAGGTTCTAAGAGTGACAGCAACTACTGTGATATTTGCAGATAGTGCTAATCTGCCTCCTAAGCTAAAGAACAGGCAGCCACTCCAGGGACCTTCTGTGACTGTCAGTTGCCATTACATGAATTGTAAAACTATTATTTTTATTTTCTAGGTGATTCTGATATTATTAGAAGCATGCCAGAACAGACTGGTGAAAAGTAAACCAGGAAAGTTTTTCTTTAATAAAACTTTACCAGAGCTCCTTTTAAAAACATTGTGTCCCTTTGGGTTGTTTTCTTCCTAACTTTTGGTTCTCTTACACTTGAATGGAGGATTAGAGCCATCGAAACCACAAGGTCTGGTGGCAGGACTTAGGTGAAGTTACATTGCCTGGTTTCCATTTTGTGGGGTTTTGTTTTCTTAAACAAACACTGTATCGCTGCAAACAAAATGAGTGGGACCACAGGGGTGTTTCCGAGTTTAGAATTCCAATGTTGAATACACATTAGTGTTTATATGATATATATCTAATCAGAAGGCCTTGTTCTTTGGTATTTTTTGTGGGTAGGTGTGTTTAGGCTAGAGGTTGACCGGTGTTTTCCTTCATCACTCTTTACCTTATATACCTAACCTAACCTTACATACCGAGTCATGGTCTCTCACTTAAACCTAGGTAGAGTTTGGCAATTCCAGCGCTAGTTTAGCTAGCCAGCTTCCTCATGGGGTCTCCTGAGTGATAGAATCACAGGCTGGTTACCCTGCACATCCACCATTTATTTATTTTACATGGATCCTGGAGGTTTGAGCTTCAGCTTTGTCACTGAGCTGTTATTCCCAGCCCCTGTGAAGACAGGCTTGTGATTCTGGTCGCAGGGTGTTTGAGAGGCATTGGTTTAGCAAAATTTGTGATTGACCAAAGCTATGTAGCAAGGGGATTGAGTGAAATGCTGTTAAAAGCCCTTCCCTGAGCTTGTGGAAAGAAAGCTTGTACAACTTGAGAGTAAGCCTAGTCTTCAGTTCATAGTGTATCGGGTTGTCCAGGTGTGTTTTATATCCTTCAGTTCTAAAAAGTGAATGTCCCCAAAATCATCCCATATGACCCTGATCCTACCCATGTTAATATTTTTTTGGGGAGACTCCAACTAATTTGGGGGAGAATACTGACTTGGTATTCTGTTATATACAGAACCAAATGGGCTTGGTATGTATACTATATGTAATCTGCTAAGCCTTTGAAGGAAGCTTCAGGAGTATCAGAAAGGCTTCCTTCTTAGGCTCTCCTTCTATCCATCAAAGATACTTTCTCTATACTATCCAGAGTCAAAGTTGATTATCCGTAATAGCTACATAACTCTGGTGTGACAGTGAGGAGTTTGGTTTCTTTCAAGGTAACATGTTAAATGGTTTCAGAAGTTAACCTAAGGTGGATGTACTTCAAAGAGTGACTGGAGCTTCATTGTCCTGTCTCATTTTGGGAGCAGCGCTAACATTTTGTAATCAGCAGTTCAGGGGGGAGGGGCTGTAAAGAACCAGCCTTTCTCATTTTTGATTCTTCCATCTTGTTGCAACAACACCCCCAGATGGTGACTTCTCCCTCAACCTCCCACCCCCGACTTTAAACTAGAATGTTTCCAGGTTAAGAAGTATTGGCTGAGTTGAGGATTTTAAGTGTTCTCAATTCTTGGTGTTTCCATACTTAAAACTGGTGTGCTCAAAATCAGGTATTAGATCTTGTATGCAGATTGGTTAGGTGTGCTTTTTAGAGCTATTTCCATGGTTCAGAGTCAGTGTCTTGGTTAAAGTTAGTGTGTTTGTCTCCTACAGTGGACCTTTCATGCTCTTTGAGTAATTTTGAATTACTTTCCCCTCCAAATTAACTACTTCCTATTTAATTTCTTAATGTATGGTGTACTGAATTTCAAAGCTTGGCTACAGGCATTTAGAATTTTTTTTAACATGTGGTTTCTAGGGCTTTGTAGGTAGTGTTAATATGGTATAAGATAATTTGGCTTTTAATTTATGCATACTTTTGTCTAGTCATTGTGTCTGCAAGGATGGTTTAAAATGAAAGTTCAAAGTTCACACCTTCCTCGGGTGTGTTTCTGTGGAGGAGCTGTGACAAAGTGCCAGTGTGCTGCTACATCGGGGATGGTAGAAGTCAGCATCCTAAGGTGTTCCTTTCTAATTCAAATGAACTAAGATTTCAGTTGGGTACTTTAATATGAGGGATTGCAGGGAATTCTAGCCGAGTGGACTCCTGTTAGGTGTGGAGACGAGTGCCAAAGACGTTGGCTATTGAGTGTGTTAAAAACTGCAAGCAACACTCTGTGGCAGATGAACAAACTATCTGACACAATTTGAGCTTGCTATAGCAAGAAAGTCTAACCTATTCCGGTGTTCTCTTCCTCATGAGACAAGCCGTTATATAGGCTCAAACAATATTTAAGAGACAAAGAATTACAATTACGTAATGGTGGCAACAGCCAATGGTGGTGTGTGGAGAAGAAACCAAATTTTAGGCAAGTCATGAATGGAGTTAGTTGTATAATGTGGAAGATGGTCATGTTTCATGGGAAGGTTTTCTCTGGACCGTTGCTGTGCTTTTGCCCATGGTGGCAGGTTTCCTGCTCCCATTCTGGGCTTACCTGTATTTGATCTGAAGATAAGTCCAGTAGTCCAGTCGAGGCTAGGTGCCACCTAGTTAAAATTGAGCCTTTTTGCTTTTTTAAATAGCATTAGTCACATCTGCCTCTCACTAAACTGTGGTCCTAGAGACCTAGGGACTCAGCATTTTCAACTTGATACTACATAAAAATTTGAGTGAATATTTTTCTGGTGCTAAAACAGGTCCCCATTATACTTGTGATTATCTAGTCCAGAACTTTTCAAACATTTTGTCTTGATAATAGTAACTTTTCAATATCTTATATACATTTACGATTTAATTTGCTATCTCCCATCTGGTTCAGAGAGTCAAGACAAAGAATTCATTTTGTCTTCATCTACTCAGTATAAACCCACCTAAGCCCCATCTTGCTGAAAAGTAAAAATGTCACAGCTAATATGAGCATTTAAAATGTGTGTGTGTGGTGGCGGGAGAGGGAGGTGGGTGGGTTGCACACCCTCTTCTAGAATCTATGGGCACTTGGCATACATGGCATTCACTTACACATGTGCCTGAAATTGTTTTAGAAGATTGATGTGTGTGAGTGTTAGGCTTGCTGTTATGTTTGCACTACAAGCATGCCTGGTGCCTGCAGTGGCCAGTAGAGGGCATTGAATTCCCTAGGACGAGTTAGTAGATGGGAGTTGCTGTGTGGGTGCTGGAAAACTGAACCTGGATCATCTGCAAGAACAAGTGTTCTTAACTGCTGAGCCATATCTCCAGCACAAAGGTTTATTTGCTTCTCTGTATAAGTGTCTTGCCTACATGAATTTAGTGCACCAGGTACTGGTGATGGATTCCGTGGAATTGCAGTTAGAGATGGTTGTGACTTATGTGGGTGCTCAAAACTGAATCTGGGTCTTCTGCAGGAGCAGCAAGTGCACTTGACCACCAAGCTGTCTCTTCAGCCCTGCTTAAAAAAAAAAAAAAAAGAGTATGTATATATGAGAAATGTTTTGCCAGGTGATGGCATATGCCTTTAATCCCAGCACTTGGGAGGCAGAGGCAGGTGGATCTCTTGAGTTCCAGGACAGCCAGGACTACACAGGGGAACCCTGTCTCAAAAAAACCAAAAAGAAATGTTTTGAGCTTTGCTAAATGTGAATGTACTCAATTCTCTGACAACCCAACAAGACAGAATTGTGAACCTGATTTTACAGAATACTACGGGCTTACAGAATTAGCAGTGAAATGGAACACAGAATGCTTAAGTTTTCAAAAGCAATGCTGATGACACTTGATGGAGACCAGTAGCAAAGCTAAGTATCTTAAACTGTACATAATTTAAACATTGAAACTATCATGAGGAACTTGCAAACATGCACCACACATCAAAATGGACAAGGTAATTTTTTAAAGAGCATGCGTTGAATCCCTTATAGCTGGAGTTACTGGCAACTGAGCACAGCTGCCTGATGTGGGAACTGGGAACCCAGCTTGGCAGCAAATACTCATCCAGTCCCTGATCTGTAAAGTGATGCACTGGTTTCAGGTCTTCCCCCTCCTCCCCCTCCACGCACCTCCAAGCTTTTCATTGTGTTGCATGGTACCAAGCAGGAGAAAGGGGTAGGAATACTTTTGTACCACTAGAGGGAGCGTGAACGGAACAGCCAACTGGGAGTAGCTTATGCCTCAGTCTTTGTCATCCAGATAATACTTTGTGATGAAAACACTTATTTTGAGTTACAACATAAACACCTTTCCAGATAAGGTTGAGGTGGAGGAAATATTTTTCTGCTCAGCTCCCCTGTAAAAAGCCATTCAGTGAAAACCCTTGTACCAATATAAACTTATTTAAGGTATTTTGGATATAAAAGATTCATATCCTAAAATTTAGTGGCTTTGGTGGGAAGAATGTTATTGTATCTATATGTCTTTCTAAAGCTGCCACTTCTTGCTAAGTGCCTTCTTGAGGTGATATTCTGAGTTTCCCCTGTACTTAATATACATATATCCCTGAATAGCTAATTGTGCATGTTAGTTCATAGATATTACTGGAATGCTAGACTTTGTCATTGGATTTTTTTTTAAGACATTCTCTGTAGATCAGTCTCAGAACTCACAATGGTATGCCTGCCTGTCTCCCAAATTGTCATTGACTTTTAAGGTTGGTCTCAGGACTGGGGTGTGGCTCAGTTATAGAGTGCTTTCCTCACATGCACAAGCCCTGGGTTCAGTCCTTAGCACTGTGTAAACTGGACATGGTGGCAGAGTCTCTTAACCCCAGCACTCAGGAGTGAGGCAAGAGCATCAGGATGTAAGGTCGTCCTCAGTTACATAGTAAGTTTGAGGCCAGCCCAGGACACACGAGATCCTGCTTTAAAAAACTTAGCTTTGGGATTCACCATGGCTTGGTAGGGATTTGGGGAATTTCTGTAAATGAATAGTATTTCTGTGGTATAGACTATACTGTGAAGCAGTTCTGATATTTAGTCTATTTCTAATTGTTGCTTAGTGACAATCCTCTGCAGGTCTCCTATATGTATGTGATAAAAAAAACCACTTGGTTTGATAGCAAATGGTGTAACAGCTGCTATAGTTCCAATTTGCACTCGCTAGCAGTGTGCAAGAGCTTGTATTTCTACGTTGGTAACCATCACTAGCCAGACAGTGGTTGTATTGATCTGATGAGCTTTAAAAAAAAAAAAATATTATCTAACCCTTTTTTTTCCTGTTATATTGGCCTTTTTTCATCTATGAATATTTTATATTTAAAGTTACAGTGAGACTGGGCTTGGTGCCAAGTGCCTGTATTCCCAGTACACTGAAGCAGGAGAATTGAGTGGCGGGGGGGCATCCTGAGTTACCACCTCAGCAAAAGCAAGACCCTATCAAAATTTTTTTGTCTTTTTTTTTTTTTTTTTTTTTTTTTAAGGAGCTAAGGACTGAACCCAGGGCCTTGTACTTGCTAGGCAAGCACTCTACCACTGAGCTAAATACCAACCCCCCCATCTCAAATTTAAGCTAGGGATTTTACTCGACACCATTTTCTGTAGTGAATTTTAATGTGTAAAAATTCAACTTATTATGGAACATAGGTCCTGTGACTTACACATATGTCCATATATATCAAGGTAAATTCCAATACAAAAACAGAGCAATTCATGGAGTCAGTTTTCTACAGAATTGAGACTTAAGTTGTCAAATGAGATTTCAGTGCTAAGGCAGGAAGAGGTGTGGGAGCCCGTTCTTGGGTTCCTCATGGCTTTACCCAGCAGGTCCACATAGAGGATGATTAGGACCACGGGCCTGAGTGCAGGTGTCTGGGATGGTCTGCACTTGGCTGTGCTGGGGGAGGAGGTCTTTTGCTCCACCCCTTGGCGTCTCTATAAAAACCCTGGGGCAGAGATAGTCGGGGCCCGTTGGAATAGGTTCCAGGCCCTCTCGAGGCTATCCTTTATTTTCTATCTGTTTATCTCCGCGATATTCTCCGCAATAAGTCCTTCTATCTAATATTTCCTGCTGCTCGCACTCAAGAAAACTCTGGGGAACTGTGGGGGTGGATGGGTAAACGCCCCACAGAATGGCGCCATGAACAGGGACTAAAGAAAAAAGAAAAAAAAGGACTAAAGAAAAAAAGGGGGACTAAAAAAAAAGGGGGGGACTAAAGATAAATGAACAGGGACTAAAGACAAAGTAATAGGGACTAAAGATAAAGGAAAATAATAATTTTATTACAGAGTTTTTGGCGAAAGTGCTGAGTTCAGCCCTGCCAGTGGATAAGGCATGCCGGTGTTATTATGGAAATATATATATTATTATATATATTGAGAGGCAGGGGTTTTATCCTCGAGAGAAAAGGAAAGCGGACTGGAAGGATGTCCGATGCTGCAGCGAAATTCTCTTCTCTCAAAATTTTCTATCTTCTATCCCTTTCTCAATTTCTATCTGTGAAAAATAAGTATAAGGCATAGGGTAGTAATATAGTATAGGAAAAACTTAGAAGTGTAAGATTGTGTAGGAAAAAATAAGTAAGGCAACTAGACAGAAAAACTCTACAATTTCCTAACTTTGGGGGCTATAAACGCAAACTGGGAAAAAAAATCTTTCTTTGGGCTTTTCGGGTAGTAAAAGCTCTCTGAGCTTTTGGGGAAGAAAAAGTTTCCTATGGAAGCTTCTTGACCTGGGGACAGCTGAAATGCTGAATCCAAGTGGCAGGAGAAAGTGATTTCTCCCTGAGGCAAATATGGGGATGTAAAAAGCCAAAGTTTAAAGTTGGGAAGTTTTGGGGAAAGTTGGTCTTTCTCTTTTGGGAAGAAAAAATCTTAAACTAAAAAGCTTTTCTTGGAAAATTTGGGGGGGAAAATCTCTAAAAAAGCCTTAATCTTTCTCTCAAACTTAAAAACTAAAGCCTCTAACCTCTCTCAGAAGCACGAGATTAGAATCACCTGGAGATTAGAGTGAGAATTATCTGCGAGTCGCTTTAAGAAAAAAATAAAGACCTCGTGATAAAAATGGGGCAGGAAAATAGTAAGCAGACCTTTGAAGAGTCACTTGTAGAAAGACTAAAAAGCAAAGGCGTTAAGGTGGTACTACAACAAGTACAGAGGTTCTTAAAGTTTGTAGAGGAATTGTGTCCCTGGTTTCCTGAATATGGGAAGCTGAATGAGGATTCCTGGGAGAGAGTTGGAGTTGAAATTAAAAAAGGCTATGAAAAACACGGGCCAGAAAATATTCCCGTGGAAGCCCTTGGCCTGTGGGCATTAATCCGGGATAATTTAGATCCTAACCCTGAAAAGCAGGAGGGATCATTCCCTAAGGAAGATGAGGTGGAGACACAACCCTCTGCTCCGCCAGCAGAACCTGAAAACCCTTGTACAGCACCGCTTAAACAGGGTCCGGTTTCTCTTGGCCATGACGCTAAGTTTAAGGAACAAAAATCTTGGAATAAGACAAGGGAGGAACTGAAAAACTTGAAAAGCCTAGTAACTTCTCTTACTCAAAAAATAGAAACTCTCCAAGTCTCTCCTCTTCCCTCTGTAGGGGTGGAACTAGACTCACCTGGGGAGGCGTCTTTTAGAATGGAAAAGCCACCTGTAATTGCCGTAGCACAGAGATCCTCTGAGGCAATGCGAACCCTCTCTGTTAAAGCTACATCTCTTCAAGCTAGCCTCCGGGAAGCTGCTAGTAAGGGGGAAGAAATTCAAGGCTTTCAAATGTTCCCTGTCCTGGAAGAGCAGGACCGCCAGGGTAATATCGTAAGAGTGCATGTTCCCATTCCTTTCAAACAGCTTAAGGAGTTAAAAACAGCATGTAGTCAGTATGGCCCAACTGCTCCTTTCACAACAGCATTGTTAGAAAGCCTGGCTTTAGAAGTTTTGCCCCCGAGTGATTGGAAACAAATGGCTCGAGCATGTCTATCTGGAGGTGACTATCTGCTGTGGAAAAGTGAGTTCGTGGAACAGTGTCAGGCCACAGCTGAAATAAATCGGGCACAACAGATTCCTATCACCTTTGATATGCTCGCTGGGGAAGGCCCATATTGAGAGACAGGTCAACAGTTAAACTTTGATATAGCGGTGTATGCGCAGGTTCAGGCCGCTGCCAAAAGGGCTTGGAATACACTTCCGTCATCAGGAAGACAAACTGAGGATCTATCCAAGATAAGGCAAGGGCCTGATGAGTTATTTCAAGATTTTGTTTCCAGATTAATGCAAACGGCTAGCAGATTAGCGATTCAGAAGCTGGACTTTTACTTGTAAAACAACTTGCATATGAAAACGCCAATGTAGCATGTCAGGCCGCGATACGCCCTTTTAGGAAAAAGGGAAACATTTCTGACTATATCCGACTTTGTTCTGATATAGGACCATCATACAATCAAGGGATAGTCATGGCCGCGGCATTACAAGGAAAAACGGTTAGGGATGTTCTATACCAGCAAAGACACCCTAATTCCAGACAAGGGAAAGATACTGGACCTTCTGGAAGTTGTTTTGGGTGTGGACAGATGGGACATTATATTAGAAGTTGCCCTAGCAAGAGAAGGGGCTTCGGATCAAATAGAGAGCCTGGGTTATGCCCAAGATGTAGGAGAGGGAAACACCAGGCTAGTGAATGCACATCAAGGGCAAACACCCAGAAGAGTCCGTTTCAGGGAAACGGACGGAGGGGCCCGCCCCAGGCCCCAACAAAATAGACTTTGGGGTAATTCAGCAGTCAATCCTCCGGCAAAGAAATATATTCAAGACCTCTATAGGGCAACACCAGGTAGTGCTGGATTAGACCTCAGTTCTTCCATCTATACAGTTTTGACCCCTGAAATGGGAATGCAAGCCCTCCCTATAGGTGTTTATGGACCTTTGCCACAGGGCTCTGTGGGGTTATTGTTGGGCAGAAGTAGTACTACCATGCAAGGAATTCTAGTTGCCCCTGGAGTGATTGATGCTGACTATATGGGAGAAATAAAGGTGATGACTCATTCACCCACAAGAAGTTCAGTAATAAAGATCGGTCAGAGACTTGCACAGTTAATCTTACTTCCTCAAATACAAACAAAAAATCCAATTAAAAGACATAAGAGAGGAGAGGCTGGATTTGGTTCGTCAGATGCCTATTGGCTACAAGCCATAGGACCACAGCGCCCAGAACTTACATTAGTCATAAATGGGAAAAATTTTTCAGGTCTTTTAGATACAGGTGCAGATTTATCTGTTATATCTGCTAGTCAATGGCCTGCTATGTGGCCCAAAATGGAGACTATTACACAGCTGCAAGGGATTGGTCAAACTCAGTGTCCCGAGCAGAGCAGCAATGAGCTCTCCTGGAGAGATGAGGAGGGTCATGAAGGGACTTTTCGACCATACATTGTCCCTCACTTGCCGGTAAATTTGTGGGGTCGAGATGTTATGAGCCGTATGGGAGTATACTTATATAGTCCCGATACAACTACCTATGAACAAGAAGTTCCTGTCCAAAAGTTAATGGAAATGTCATCTTTAACTCCTAAAGATAAGGACGTTATGGAGCATTTTTAGGAAGGGTCATTGAGCAGCCTGTACTCCATGCAGATCCTATAACCTGGAAATCCAATCAGCCTGTGTGGATAGATCAATGGCCCCTAACAGAAGAAAAAATACAGGCTGTCCAGCAGTTAGTACAGGAGCAGCTGGATAGTGGTCACATTGAACCATCTAATTCTCCCTGGAATTCTATTTTCCTCATCAAAAAGAAGTCAGGGAAATGGAGATTATTACAGAATTTGAGAAAGATTAATGAAACCATACAACCTATGGGAGCTTTGCAGCCTGGATTGCCTATCCCTACTGCTATACCAGAAAATACTTATAAAATTATTTTGGATTTGAAGGATTGTTTTTATACCATTCCTTTAGCTCCCCAAGACTGTCAAAGATTTGCATTTAGTGTTCCCTCAGTCAACTTTAAAGTCAACTTTAAAGAACCCATGAAAAGATTCCACTGGAAAGTTTTGCCCCAAGGAATGGTTAATAGCCCAACACTGTGTCAGAAATTCGTAGCTCAAGCTATCCAAAGAGTTAGAGAGCAAGTTCAACAGGCTTATATTATTCATTACATGGATGATATTTTGCTTGCACATAAAGATGAAGAAATTTTGCTTGACACTTTCGGACGGCTTCAGCACTGTCTTACCCGTGCAGGGTTAATTATCGCTCCAGAAAAAGTGCAAAGACACTCGCCTTTTCATTATTTAGGACATGTCTTATACCCTAAGGTGATAAAGCCTCAAAAATTGGAAATAAGAAAGGATGAGTTAAAAACTTTAAATGATTTTCAAAAATTATTGGGGGAGATTCAATGGTTGCGCCCTTATTTAAAAGTATTTACTGGTGATTTGAAACCTTTAAGTGATATTTTAAAAGGAGATAATAACCCTAATTCACCCAGAGAGTTAACTGAAAAAGGTAGACAAGTTCTTCTGCAAGTTGAAAAGGCTATTCAAAACCAGCAAGTACATTACATTAATTACGCCCTACCTTGGTATGTACATATTTTGCCCACTAGACATACTCCTACAGCAGTATTATGGCAAAACAAGCCTCTCTTATGGCTACATCTTCCTGTTTCACCAGCTAAAGCATTAAATCCATACTATGAGTCTGTAGCTTGCTTGGTACAAAAAAGCAGAATTGAGTCTAGACGTTATTTTGGTAAAGAACCTATGGTAATTAATGTTCCTTTTACAAAGCAGCAAGTTGATTGGCTTTTTCAAAACAGTGATTCTTGGGCAATTGCCTTTTCCCAGTTTTCAGGCCAAATTGATAATCAATTCCCAGCTGATCCATTATTGCAATTCGTTCAAATGCATTCCTTTGTATTTCCTAAAATTGTTATGAAAGACCCCGTAGAAGATGCTGTGTTAGTTTTCACTGATGGATCTTCTAATGGAAAGGCTGCTTATGTTATTAATGGAAAAAGTTATGTAGTACAAACAACCCCAGCCTCTGCACAGATAGTGGAATTACGGGCAGTGAACATGGTTTTTCAGGTTCTTGAAGACAGATCATTGAACTTATACACAGACAGTCAATATATTTATAGAGCTCTTCAAGTCATAGAAACTGTTCCCTATATTGACGCTAATAACAACCAAGTCCAAATGTTGTTTCAACAATTTCAAGACGCTATTCACAAAAGAAAGCTGCCATGCTTTGTGGGCCATATTAGAGCTCACTCCAATCTTCCTGGTCCTTTAGCTGAGGGCAATGCGATGGCTGATAAGTTAACAAAGATAGTAGCATTATCCCAAGTGGAAATGGCTCAACAGTCACATGCTCTTCATCATCAAAATAGCAAAAGCTTAAGAAAGCAATTCAATCTTACCAAAGAAGCAGCTCGTCAAATAGTTAAAAGATGTGGGGTATGTCCAAAATATTTTCCTGTCCCTCACTTAGGGGTAAACCCTCGAGGTCTTCTTCCTAATCATCTATGGCAAATGGATGTTACACATATTGCAGAATTTGGCAAATTAAGATGTGTACATGTGACCATTGACACTTATTCAGGATTTTTAATGGCTAGTGCACAACCTGGAGAATCTACAAAACATGTAATTATGCACTGCTTGAAGTGTTTTTCGTATATGGGTTTACCAAAAATTATTAAAACTGATAATGGTTCTGGATATAGTAGTAAGGCATTTCAACAATTTTGTACCCAATGGGAAATTGTACATAAAACAGGTATTCCTTATAATCCTCAGGGACAAGGTATTGTGGAAAGGGCTCATAGCAGTCTTAAAATACAACTTCAAAAAATAAATATAAAAAAGGAAGAAATTTACCCTCTATCGCCACATAATGCATTAAATCATGCTCTTTTTGTTCTGAACTTTTTGAATATGGATGTCTATGAACAGTCTGCCGCAGATAGATTTTGGCACAGTGGCACCCAAGCAACTTTTGCTCAAGTGAAATGGAAAGATCCCTGCTCAGGATTATGGAAGGGTCCCGATCCTGTGTTAATATGGGGTCGAGGACATGTTTGTGTTTTTTCACAAGAGGAGAATGAAGCTCGGTGGTTACCGGAGCGTCTGGTAAGGAGCATGGAACTAAGGAAGGGTCAGCTCTAATGATGTTCCTATAAAGGAACCAGAATGAAAGTGGCTCGATCAGTGTTTCTGGGGTTTTGTCACTGGTTGATGCAGGCAGTGAGGAAACAGAGTTCGGAGCTGTGCCGCTTTTGGCTTTACTAGCTCCTTTGGAAAAATACTTTATATCACCTAATAGCTGTGTGGTATTTGGCAAAGACCTTACAGCAGCTAAATACGGTAATTTCACCCTCACTGTGAAGTGAAGTTTTTTCCGTAGAACAAACCAAAAGTACTGCTGTAATAGAAACGTTTGTCTGAATTGAAGCACTTAGGGGAACTATTATGAATTTGGGTGAAGGGACAGCCTCTAGTTACAAACCATCTACCGCTGACAGTGCATCTCTGCCGGTCCGGAACGGCTGAGAGAACTGGCAACTTTGGAGTGTGGCGTCATCCTGGGAAGGTTACAGTCCCCTAGCAACAACTATCACAATTCTATAACAACAACACTCACTAAATCCCAGTGCTTTATAACAAAGCTGACTATAAACTCTAAACTTTAGCAATGATGTACGTACTTCCTGTCTAGTTAAGAAAATCTTTCTAATAGAGATAGTAATAATAATTAAGAATAAGAAATAGAAAAAGATGAAAATAAGATATGTGAGTTTGTAAAAATTCTGTCTTGTTAGATCTGTGTTAAGAAATCTTTAGGTGTTTGCTAAATTAGATATATGCTAATGGTAGCCCTATATAAGTTTGTAAAATAGATCTATAGAGTTCCTTTAAGAATATAAGCTTGCAAGAAATATCTAAGGTAGTCTTAAGACATGTAGTAATAAGCTTGTAAGAAGTGAACATACTAGTTGTAAATGTAAGTTTAAATAAGAAATAAGATAAGAAGTATATAAGAAGTAATAAGAAATATATTTGCTAAAGTAGTTCTATAGTTCCCTTAAAGAGTATAAATAAGTA